AGGACTTTTGAAACAAGCTGCTGAAGAGGCAGTCTGTGAATAGATTTTGCAATCCCTGTTTAGAAATTTGGACCTTATTTGTAGGATAATGAGACACATTTTTTTGCAGTGGAAGATTGTAATCACATTTGCCTTCTAGAGAAATTACTCAGGCTGCACTGTGGAGAATACACTGGAACTGAGGGGTCAGGATTGTGGGGAGGGTAATTTTAGGAGCTATGTCAGCAATCTTGTTGAATGATGGTGATGATTTTGTAGAAGGGATAGATAGATGTGAACAAAGAAAATAGAATTGGGATGATTTATAATTGAAGGCACATGGAAAGTGAAAGAAGAGACGAAATCTTTAAAAAAGAAGAGGAGAAATCTTAGCTGATGCCCAGGCTGTAGCACTTGGCTAGATGGAAGGAAGTGCCGTTCCTTGTTCTGAGACTAAGAACAAGCTTGCAGTGGCAAATTGGACAGAGAAGATTCTGAGTGTCATTTTGAACTTAAAAAATTATTGGCACCTGTTGTATACCTACACAGATATTCAAGTGGGCAGTTCAAGCTTTGATGTCCTGGGGAAGCTACCCAGACCTGAACTATATGTCTAGAAGTCATCAGGAGAATTCACTTGACCCTTGAACAACTTAGGGTTAGGGACACCAACCCCCCCGCCCCATGCAATCAAAAGTCTTTTTATTTCCTCCCAAATTAACTGCTAACAGCTTATTATGGACTGAAAGCCCTACTGTTAGCATGCATTTTGTATGTTATATGTGTTATATACTGCACCCACGTGAAAGCTGCACTTTCAGTATGAGTTAGAAATGTATTTCACGAAAGGTGCAAGGTTTTTGTGTCTGTTGACATAGCTGTAGCAACAGTCACAATTGTTTATTTTTTAATACAGTAGTTGTTAAGTTGGATTATTTATCTTGAGTGGCAGGGAACCACTACAGACCTCAATCTGTGTTTTTGTATGTGAATTTTTATTTTATTAAAAGATCATTTTATTGGGGGCTCTTGCGCTCTTATAACAATCCATATATCAGTTGTATCAAGTATATTGGTACATACGTTGCCATTATTATTTTCTAAACATTTACTTTCTATTTGAGCCCTTGGTATCAGCTCTTCTTTTTCCCCTCACTCCCCGCCTCCCACCTCGTGACCCCTAGATAAATTATAAATTATTATTATTTTCATATCTTACACCGACCGCTGTCTCCCTTCCCTCACGGTTTCTGTTGTTTGCCCCCTTCGTGCGGTGTGTGTGGTTATGTGTCGATCATTGCTATCACTTTCCCCTTCCTGCCCCTTCCTTCACCTTCCTTCTACCTTCCTCCTCCTTTCCTGGTATCGCTACTCCCATTACTGTTCCTGGACTCCATGTGTCATGACCTCCTAACTTTTATCTGTACCTGTGTTTATACCTGAAGTGAAAGCAGGACTGGGGTCATGATAGTGGAGGGTGAGGAAACCTCAAGAAACTAGAGGAATATTGAGTTTGATCAATGCTATACCGCACCCTTGTTGACTCATCCTTTCCTTGTGACCCTTCTGTGAGGCATGTCCCATTGTCTACAGATGGGTTTTGGATCTCTGCTCTGACTCCCCTTGTTCTCAACAATATGGTTCTGTTTGTTTGTTTGTTTTGGATCATCTGATGCCTGTTACCCGATCCCGTTGACACCTAATGATTGCACAGACTGGTGTGCTTCTTCCATGTGGGCATGTTGCTTCTCTGCCAGATGGCTGCTTATTTAACTTCAAGCCTTTAAGACCCCAGACACTGTATCTTTTGATAGCTGGGCACCATCTGCTTTCTTCATCACATTTGCTTATGCACCCATTTTGTCTTCAGTGATTGTGCTGGGAGGGTGAGCAGCACCAAATGCCAGGTTGTTAGAACAAAAGTGTTCTTGTGTTGAGGCAGGGCTTGAGCAGAGGCCCAAAGTCTGCCCACTATCTTAGTGTATTGCCATATAAATATATGTACATATGCCTGTACCTCTTTTTATGAATTGATACATTTACATATGTACACACCTATATTTATACATCTATCCATAGCTTGGCTTTCAAGATCTCTCCTCTGTTTCCTTTTACCTTCCTCTTGCTCCACGTTCATGCTCGCCCTTCTTTGCAGACCTCAATTTATGATACAGATCAATAAATTTGACTTTTTCTATAATAATAGTCATGACCTTTCTTGCTTCTTAGGAGCCCTTGCAGCATCACTAGTGGCATTTGACATGGGTCCCATAGTTTTATTCAGACTTTATGGTATTGCACCAAACATGGTGAAAAATACGGGAGATTGGCAAGGGATCACTTTTTACAACACTACTCCGTTTACTCAAGAGACGTACACTGTTCTTGAGATGATGAGTATTACATAACATGTCTAAGTGGACCCAGGCAGTTCAAATGTGCTGCACTGTTCCAGAGTTAGCAGTGTATCTAATGAAAGTTGTTGGGGTCACTGGGATTTCCCAAGGATGTAATGAGGGGAGAATAAGACCAAGAGTACAACTCTGAGGACATCATCATTTAGGGATAGTTAGAAGGCGAGATAGAAGCCATCAGAAAGACTGAAAAGTAGTATCTTAAAAAATACAGAAATGGGAGAAATTCTGAAGACTGCGAGTATTTAAGTGTTAGGAGGTAAAGGAAAGTAAGGACTGTGTTAGTTGCTATGAAATCAATTCCGACTCATTGTGGCAGTGCCCTCAAGTATGCAGAGCAAAACTGCTGCACGGCCTTCTCAAAAGATGGCCTTGTGGAAGCAAACGCTGAGTGCCTCTGGGTGGGTTCCAACTACCAGACTTTTGGCTAGCAGTTGCTTAACCATTTGCGCCATCTAGGGAGTCAATTTTTTTTTATG